AGCAGGACAACAATTAGAGCAATCTTTATTGCTATATGAGTCTCGTATTTCCACTGCAAGATTTAAATTCAGTTCTTTCGATCCCAAAGCCAATTCTAATCTGGAACTGTTACGAACATGAATCATGCATTAACCGAGTTGTTGGCCTTCGCGAATTCGCTTGTTCTGGTGGTAATGCAGTCTGTATGATGTTAGATTCAGTAATGCAAATGATTACTGAGACTTATGACTTAAATACTTAAGACACTGAAGATTTATTAGATTTTGACTCAAGAACTTGCTCTGCTTCTTGCAAAATTATGGGTCCAGCGAAATCCCATAGGAATTTAACAGTATTAGAAGTGCAAATCCTTCCTTTACTTGGTATTCTCACTACTATGATTTTAATGGAACTGCTACTTAGGTGAAAGAGCACTTTTTGGCATCAATACGACAAAAAACAGCATAGTGAAAGATCTTCCTGAAGAACTAGCAGTGAAAACAGATGATCAGACTGCCGTGAGCCATTCTACAATCAAATTGCATTTAAGTAGAGTACCACCAATTTAAAAACGGAACTCAAAGAAGAAGGGCAGTTAAATCAAACAGTCAGAATTCTAGTTTCTAAACAACCAATGAATGCAGATGACCAAAAAATTGAAAACACCTTTTTTTCTTTGAATGAAATATTCTGGATTTCGCTCCAGGCGAACGAAGCTTTCGGCGTTAACTTATTGTTTTTTTCGTATACGTTGATGCCGAGGGGGCCAACACCCAACCACAGGTCGGATTCCTTTTTGTTCTAAATCATTTTTGAAAACGAGAATGAATCGTACAAAGCGACTGATTCCTACACTGATGGGAAAATTTTGAATTCCGTACATATCTAGGTCCTGGGCTATGCGAAGATATTCTAGTTCAGCTTCTTCTCTAACAAAGCAGACAATTAATGCAAACAACGCAAAGAAATTAATTAACTACCGGCTCATTCCTTTATTATTGATCCACCACGTTTTAATTCGCTCCTCCCACATTTCCTGTGTCATCTGGTACTGATCGATGACCCTTTGCGGAAGAAGCTCATCAAGGGACAGTGACTCGCTCTTCAGTGCAGCATCGTCATAGTCTCCATACTGAATGTAAAGAGTAGATATCTTAAATATAATAAAATAATTTTACCTTTGCTTGTACAGCATAGGATGCCAGAAGGACTGACGCCTCAGGAGGACAATAAATGTCCATGCTGACTATTGACTGTTTAACTTGAAGATAGAACAGATGCTGAGTGATGTCTTGAATGAGCTCTTCAGAAACATCTTCCGGAAAGAATTTTACCAGAAAGTAAAAGTGATACCCGTTATCTGACTTTTTGACATCTTGTGACACAATCTGAAAAGGACTGAGCACATTATACAATCAAAGCTGCGTAGCCTGAGTCTGTTTCAAACAACACCAATATATTTTCTGTTTAATTTAACAAGAATCACATGAACGTAGAAACACTCATATTTATAGCGCTACTGAACAGTGAATGGAACTAAATTACTTTAAAATTATACAGGAACACAATTTTATGCATAGCAAAATATGCTATGAACTTTTCTTCAACTTCACGGAAAATCAAAATATACAATATGATGATCAGCATTAGAAAATTAATATGTAAAATCAGCGGTATCTTTAAAAATGACTGACATCACAAACCGCATATCAAAAAACAACATTTCCGCTGAAAGCCATATGTTACAAAATTCTACACGTGAAACCGCTGCTGACTAAACTGATGTTTCATGTACCTTAAATAAAAATTTGCAGAAACTGTTCACTAAAGGCAATGAGTTAAAAACAGCTGAGAAAGATGAGATCAGGCAAGGTTCATGACTGGCTGTAACTTGATGACCTGAGGCAACAAATCCCCGAGAACGTGAGCACTTCATTGGCAGTAGTAAGTGGTTCGTGCTCAACCAATTTGTCAAGAAGGGTCAATCTCGTTTATCTAAACGTCTACGGAGAATACCTCCGTCCGGAATATGATAGAGTCGCTCCTTACCTGGTCCTGCTATTTAACCCACACTAAGCGGTGAAGCCTACTGCATGCAGTTCAACCGTCGTTCTTGGTTCTTCATTAGAAAAATTGCTTATATGTAATACAGCTGCACTGGTATTAACTCGATCTGCCATGTGCGGTATTCGGGAGAAAGGGTTAGTTCGATCTGAGCGAAAATATTGGACAGAAAGGGCACGAGAGAGACGGTGATGCAACTATTTCACTATTAGACGAAGTCAGACGATAGAGCCCAGATTAACCATTACTGTTTCATCTAACTATTCTTCTCGCAAATCAACTATGTTGGATGGGTTCGTCATAACCTTAAATTTCTGGGCTTTAGAGTAGAAGCCGGGTTTCACAGTTGTCGCATAAGGAAGTATCAGGTGTTGAAGGTGGTTCCCCGTATTCTCCTCAAGGACAAATCATCTGCATTCTACATTTCAGTAATACATATAACAAAATATCTTGAGCTGCGCCTTTCATGCAGAATCAAAACCGCCGTCTTAACCACGAGACATTATTTAGTAGGCAAAGATCGAGAACAATGTTGACTACAAAAGGCGAAAGCATATCTTCCTGGCGAACTCCACAGTCAAGAGGAAGCATTCGGATAACTCTCTACCGACTTTGACAGAGACATGATAACACATCCCTGCAAATTATCTTCGGAAATGATATGTTCAGGTGATCCATAACCCTTGAGATTCACCATCTCGTTCGACGACGCATCGAATGAAACACACCAACTTTAAATCCTGAAAACAGCTAAGGCAGTTAGAATCATCAACACTGCTCAACAATCCCATGAAGAGTGATTTTGTCAGTGCATGGATATTCTGTTCGAAAGCCTGAATGATTTGGGTTGAGTCTTCTGTCAAACACATGCCGCTTCGAGCATTCCCAGGTCATTCAAGAAAACAATTTCCTGACATTGGACAGTACAGTAATGCAACAATCATTGGAATACTCAGTAGCGCGTCCCGCTTCAAAAATACCCACACCAACTTTGTACCTCCAAAGAAGAATTTCTATGTCGACATTTAGCGAAACATTGCGTGGCGGTATATTTGTGAATCACTTTTTCCGTAGTATTTAATCAACTGGGAGGGGATTCTATAGAGAACATTCGCCTTCTTAAGGCAATCATATCAATTATTATACAAGATAGGAAGCGATGGCAAATGGTTACAAGAAGCGCACGGATGTTTTAAACCTTTACGACATTCAATATGTCAAATAGATCAAGAGAGAAAAATAACTCTGCTACAAATTCTAGTGGCAACTGCGAAACAGAAGGAGATGAAAGGCAAAAATAAAATCTGTCTATCGTTATTTTGATTGTCATAAAAGGAAAAGATGGAGAACCATTTAAGTTACGTAGCGTAAGAACAGGCCTTGAGAAAGCATTTTCATGTGTTCTACTCGAAATGCTTAGGTTCGTTTCCTTCAGGATGACTATTAACACAATTTCATTCTTGATATATATACCCACCTTCGTATCAAAGTCGACCCAGTCGTAATAACCTTTGTTATTGGTATACTGCAATCCAAAAAACCAAGTTTCTCTGAGGCCAATGGTTCTGCAAACAAGGTCAAACAGATCTCTGCCTTTTGCTTTACGCTAAACGAGAACAAACCAAGAGGTAAGTATACAAGTTTCTTCCTAAAACAGCATTTACAGACAACTTGCAATTTAACGCAATAAAAACACTCCTCCATGATCAAGCCGTCAGCACGGCCCATTCCAAAAATCACACGAAATTTTGAGGATGGATACTGTAAACTCGTCCTAAATTTGCAGAGTCGATCCTTCTGAAAGCGACATGAATCACAATACTTAACCGGCGAATGACTTTAACTTGTGCTAACCTATGTGTTATGCCAATCTGCAGGAAATCAATACGCAGCAGTTCGTTCGATTAATAAAACGACTATTTTTAATTCATAGCGTATTAATCTGATATCGGCAATCACAACCATTTTCGGACTGCAATCTATTTCTGCCTTTTTTTGGCTCGGTTACATAATACTGAGAAGCTGTAGTGAAAAATTTCTTGACCCAGAAACGCTCACGAAATTTCTCAATGAAAATAACATCCTACGATTAAAAACATTCCACGCCAGCTGAAACTGTCAGGTACTTTCAAAAGAGCATTACCGAGTTGCCTTCAAAAAATAAGCAATGCATGCAATAAGGTCTATAATGAAAATAACACAAAACACGGTTTACTAGATAAATAGACAAGACCAAAAACTGTCAGTTATTCGACTAATCAACTGTTATGCCGTGTAGAAATAAATCGCGTTTTATGGTACTTTCGGTATGACAATAAATGCTTGAACCAAATGCCCCAAAATTTATAACATCACTAAGAAGCTACCCTTGCAAATAGCTTAATGACTTCAGAATGGAAAGACAAACAAGCTATGCCCAATTCGAAACAAAATAAGGTGGGAATTTATTATCTGCAACCTAAACGGCGCTTCTGGAATCTTAACCGTCATTCAATAACTGCATCCGATGACATTTTTAGGAAGATATGAATAAGCGAACCGGCTTCACAGATCGATTTCATTAATTCTGTTACTCTTCAGTAATTCTCATTAACAACAATCTCACCTCAAACAACCGGCGACAAACTGTCAGATCTTCAAGAACCTTGAAATTGGGCCATAATCAACATGCTGAAGAATGCTTTCCTGAACCAAGATGGGACAGTGAGAGGTTACATAAGCTCTCAAATCTAAAGCTCTGAACTAACAGAAAAAATGGTGGTCAAACTTTACCGATACGTTGAACTGCAGATCTGCGTCCATTGTTGTCACCCGAATGTCAACGCATTTGCGAGGCTTCTTGGCCTGCTTTGGACTATCATTGAAAGACCACATTGCGAAAAAAAGCGAAAGCTAGTCAAATCTTGACTACTTCCAGTTGAACAATGTTTCGTTCATTAGGATTCTAGAAAGCAAACACAATAACTGAAGGGCAAACAAAATGATCACCGCAACAGCAAAACTATGAATATCAAGACGTGATTCACCGAAATATTAATAGCTATAAACTGCACAACCCTGGATAACTTTTAATCCGGCGATTGCACAGCTGATTAACAACCATTTCTCAAGATCATCATCGATTCGGCTTTATGATCAATTAAGGCCAAGTGCCATCGAGCGCTGGTTTGCACAGTGAAACAACCGTTAAATTCTGGTCCTGGCAGCGAAATCAATGATGAATCAATGACGAATAGGCAGCCGCAGGCACTAAACATCATGATCGCAGTGCTACTGTGCGAGTAGTTAATTCCACAGAAAAGTTAGTTGAAAAAATACCGCAAAAACTTGAAACCGATCTGATACCCTCCTTGAAAGTTCAGTTTTCAGATCAACTCATTATCCCATCATTCAAGCAGTGATTTTAGTACATAGCTTCATTTGCTGGTTACCTTTTTACTGCTGCGGATTCTCAGCTGTGTGCATAGCTGCTGGCCGTCTGGCACGCCCCGGGTTGAGGATATGGGAACCACCGGCAGATAGAGAGGTTAGCTGCAACAAACATGCAGTGGCGGACAAACAGCTGTGAGACCACAAAGGCGTGGCTGCGTTCGAGCTCAACAAACTCGATCCTCAAAAAATAAGTGACAATGTAAAATGATAATCGCATGTCTATGCAAAAGCGACCGGTGCTTCTGAATAAAAATGCCGCCAGTGTCACCACTGCCTTGCGGTTAGACGGCGGCGCGTTAAAGGCTAGAAGAGACAACTTAGATTTAAAAAATTTGCTGGAATTAGGGGACATGTCTGTAAGAAATTCCCCAAATCAACGTCGACCCTGCAAGCGGGTTGCAAAACTTCATCAAAGTGTTGCGACCAGGACGATTCGTCCATGAATCGCGTGCGATAAGTAGAGGCATCCCAGGCGCCAACGAAAGAAGTGGCGAAAGCCAAGGATGATTCCCGGGAGAAGTTCGGTGAGGTATTGGAGCGGAGTCGAATTTCCACACGACAAACAAAGTAATCTGGCAGACTATCCGCCGGCTCAGGCGCGAAAAAAATGGCAGTCTCAGAGTCCTGAAAGAAAGTTCTGGATATCCTCTTACCAAGGATTATGACATTCTTCGGCGATGGAGGGAGTTCTTTGAGGATCTCCCTAACCCCGCGCAACCGCAGGAAGAATCACCTGCAAAGCAGCAGGGAACGGATACTACTATCTCTGTAGATGAAATTACACAAACTGTGAAAAGCTTGAAAAATGGACAGGTTGCTGGAATTGATGAAATCCGTTATTAAATGCTCAAGACATTAGGAGAACAAGGCATGTGCTGCCGTACACCTGTCTGTCAAACAGCGATGACTACAGAGAAGACAAAAGCGAACTGCAGAACGGAAGTTATTGTACCTGAGTTCAAGAAGGGAGACCACAAGGAGTGCTCCAGTTATAGCGGCATAACGTTATTGAGCCTCCCAGGTAAAGTCTACGCAAAGGTGTTTGAAAGGAGGTGCCGTGAAATAGCTGACCTCAAGATCCTAGAAGAGCAGTGTGGCTTCCGGCCCGGTCGAAGCACCTCTGACCATATATTTTCCCTGAGCCAGATTGTTGAGAAATCGTGGGAGTACGCCCAGCCGGTGTACAAGTGTTTTGTGGACCTAGAGAAAGCGTATGACCGGATTCCACGCAGCAGTCCGTGGTCATGCCTTCGAGCATACTGGATTGATGGCT